TAAGATCAAACTAAATCTGAAATAATTTTATATGAATCAAATTAACACAAATAATCCAAATAGTTTATAATGTATATTATAAGTAAAATATATATATATAGCAAATCGATTGGTCGGTTTGGTTATTTTAATCAATAAAGCTGTCATCGATACGAGATATCCAAAATTTAAAAAGTAAAAACATATAATTGAACCAAAATATTGTTTTTTAATTAGAACGAGGGATGGGATGTATGTCTATGTAGGGTTTTGGTATTTGTAGAGAGCCTGGCTGTTCTCGGACGACTTTTTAGCGACAGATCCATCAATTGCAATGTAGAAAAAACATGCATTTACCTCGGACAAGAAAAAGGTAATACGTGGAACAAGAAAATTATATTGGCTTCAAGGTAATTCCTTTTCCAAACAATAATTTAGGCTTTAATTTAAAATAAAATAATATAACATCTGCTTTAATTTAAAATAAAATAATATAAGCATGCAGTCATCAGTGATGGATTTTTCCCCTTTATCTGCACTGTGCATAAAAGGCTTAGTAGTGCCTTTGTTTCCACTTGTTCATAATGAGATACAAGCATATAAAATGCAAAAACTAGCAAAATATCACGATAAAGGAAGTTTGAATTTGCATGTTTCAAAAGGCCATTTGTTCAATAACCCGGCTTTCATAAGACCACAGTTCCCTTACACTCAAACTCATTGACCAGCGATCTTTCAGATGGGTCCTATATGTAATCTATCTATTCTATATATTATTATTATATGTATATATATTATATTATATATTATAATTATTATAATATCTGTAAAAGGACGAGTGTTTTGTAAAAAAAAATAAACTACCTAAAATACTCTTACTATGACATATTTTTAATGTCAAATTAGAAATACACTATATCCATTTTATATTATATTTTTAATTAATAACTGTAATTTACCTAAAAAACCCCTCTATTTGACAAAGTAATGAACTACTTAAAACACCCTTATTTTGACATATTTTTAATGACAAATTAGTAATACACTATATCTATTTTATCTTATATTTTTAATTAATAACTACTACCTCCGTTTTTTTTTTTATAAATGTCATTTTGGTTTTATCAACAATTGATTAAATAAATGACGTTTGTATCTTTTGTACATATTTTTTCATTATTACCCTTATCTAGCTAATAAATACACTACGTCGTTTCATATTTACTCTTTATCTTTTCTCAAAACATCCATCTCTATCCTAATGAGGGTTATTATTGGAAAAAAAATATTTTTAATTAGTGTGCAACTTCTCAAAACGACATCTATTAAAAAAAAGAGGGAGTATAATTTACCTAAAAAACCCTATATCTTATATTATCGTTTTAGGTGGTCTTATTTTCACTAACTTTCTATATTTTTGTTTGCAACTTTGTATATTATAATTTATTTATTTTAATTTTTGTTCATCTTTTTCTATGTATTCATATTGAATTATCTTTTCTATTAAATAATCTACTTCTTTAATTCCCTTTTTTTCTATTTCATATGGTTCAAGATTTATATCTCCCATATTTATATCTATATTTAAAATTCTAGATTTGTTATTCAAATATATTGCTAATGAGCTTAACTCATTTACTTGCTTATTTTTTTTTTTATTTCTATGTCCCTTTTATATAAACTACTTGGTTCTTCTATTTCTTGAATTCTTAATAAATTCTTTTCATTTAGTTTTCCTAAATTTGTAGGATTACTTAATTATATCGCCTACTATGTTCTCTTAAAAATTCTTTTTGAATTCTATTATTTTTTATAATATTACTTGTTTCATTGAATATTTTTCCTGTATATATTCTTTCTTGGTTTTGATAATGCATTAAACTTCTATTACGTAACGCATATCCTATTCTATAACAAACAACCATAGGTATATCATCTAAGTCTATTAATGTTTTTTCTTGAAAATTATATATAATTCCTATATAGTTATTAATTTTTTTAGTTAATAATGGTATAGGAAATTGTAACGATATGTTAAACTTAATTACTCCATACCTTAAATCTCCTTCTATTTCTCCTAACTTTCTTGATTCTTTATGCGTAATTCTCGACTTTCATATTCACGGGTGTTTTTATTCCTTCTATAAATGTTGATCGTAATAGTACTATTTGTATTGTGTTTATGTGTATATAACTTATCTTTTTCTTATCTTCTTCTTTTATTTTTTCTAATCTCCTTTTTATTGGATTTATTTCAACTAAGGGTGCTTGAAAATTACAATTTACTTGTTCTATTCTAATTGATTGTTCTCCATTCATTATTTAGTAATGCTTTACATTTTTTCTATTTAATTTTTCTAATATACCATTATTTATTCCTTCTTTCTTACTTTCTAAATCTAAATTTCTTTTATTTATTACTTTTTTTACTAGTTTTTCTTGTCTAATAGTATTTTGATAAGTAAATAACTTGTTTTTCTATATTTTCTATAACCTGGTAATCGTTTTCCATTATTTAATTTTGACTATCGAATTTGGCTTTGTTTTTATTTCTAGGTCTATCGTTTTTTGGTAAATAGATTTTTTTTATAATATGTTTAATGTCTAAATTTCTTTCGTCTCGTAATATTTTTCATTCCGTTTTTCGACTTAAATTAGCATCCACTTAATGCTTCAATCATTTGTGAAGACACATAATAATTCATTTATCTACTATTTAAGTTCTTTTTCTATGTCCTTATAATACAAATTTATTCTAGGTATTATGTATTCTTGATCTTCTATTCTCAATATTAATTCTCTTTTATTATACCCCCTACGTACTGTTACAAAAAGTCGATTCCTAATGATACTGATATATGTCCTTGATTCTTCTTGTTGGTAGTTGAGATCTCTATTGTCATACTTATATCCTTACTGAATACTATTTCAATTTCAGATACTTTTGTATTATTTACTTCTTTTTCTTTGCATATTGCAGGATTGATGTCACCTTTTATATCTACAATTTCTCTAGCTAAATTTACACTTATGTGACTATTACATGCTTCTGTATCTATAATTACTGTAACTAACTTCATATTTACTAATGCAACAACATGATATTGGCTATGGTGCTGTTTACTTAAACAAACTTTTACTTGTTTCATATTTTTTTCTTTATCTTAATTTTCAAATATGTTGTTCAAGAAAGAAATAATAAGCTTATATAAGAATATACCTTCTTTTGTTAGCTAATCTGTTCAAGGACACCCTTTCGTCTTTCTGGCCTATACTCAATTCTCAGCAACGACATTGACTATCTGGGTTGTGTATTCGTCCCTCCAGAACCTTTTAACAAATTGTTCAAACTTTGTTCAAACTTTGGAGTGTTTTCTTTCCTTGCTTATTATTTCTGAGTGTATTTGATTACTCATGAAGTATGAAACACACATCTTTTATTTCATAAAGAGGATTACAAGACTCGATTTTTTCATACAAACTTGAGCTCTGCCCAGAATGACAAAGTCTCGACCCTTAAATAGGCGAGGATTAGCACAATTTTTGAGTGTATTTAGTTATTTATTGAATGAAAAAGTTTAATATTTTAAGGGTTAATAATGAAAATATTATTCACCTTGATATTAATCACTAATGGTTAGGTGAAAATTCGTTAACTTTATTGTTGATATTAATCACTAATAGTAAGGTGAAGATTCGTTAGGTTTATTGACTTTGTAACCAAAACTGAGAAAAATAAACAAAGAAACAAATAAAGCACGATTTTTGTGCGACCAAAATCCAATCCAATAAAACTAAGGTTCAATTTCCAGATTAATTCTAAATAAAAGAGTTTACTTTCTTAAATAATGAAGTAGTTAAATGAATTGTTCACTTTTCTAGTTTTTTAGATTATGTATATATTTCACGGTGCATGATCTTAGTAAAATTTTAGGTATCTTCTCTTAATTAATGTTAAATATGTATCTTTTGAATTATTTATTATATACAAGTTACCCCTCAATTAAGTTGTCATTTTTTACCAAGATTTATCGTTTATTAAAATTGTAAATAAATAGTTGAAAATATTTGTATTTTTTATATGTACTTATTATGCTATTACTGTTGCATTATTTTTTTTAGAAAAAATAAATACGTATTAGAATCATGGAATATGGTAACGATTTTACATTAAAATTATACTAAAAATAAGGACGCTTTTTAGAACATCATATATATATATATATATGTATATATATATATAGGGTCGCACTCACATGAGAATGGTGCTTAATGAAAGAAATGAGAATAAATTTCAGCCATCAGATCTGATAATCCAACAGCTAAAAAAAGTATCAATTGTCTCACTCCTTAAGGATAGATTGGGAAAATTTCAAAATTAGTCCCACAGATATAGGGGGGTGACAATTTTGGTCCCGAAGGAATGCACAAAATATGAATAGTCCCACAGCTTTTAAAAAATGATCAAAAGTAGGACTTTTTCGCCGGATTTACTATTTCCGGCCCGGAGCGCCACGTGGCGCACACGTGACGTACACGTGGTGCACACGTGGCTTATTTTTTACACGCTGGCATCCGAAGTAGATAGAAAAAAATTCAAAACTAGTCCCACAAGTATAGAGGAGTGACATTTTTGGTCCCGATGGAATGCAGAAAATTCAAAACTAGTCCCACAACTTGTAAAAAAATATGAACACGTAGGATGCCACGTGGCGTTCCGGGCCGGAAATAGTAAATCCGGCGAAAAAGTCCTACTTTTGATCATTTTTTAAAAGATGTGGGACTATTCTTATTTTCTGCATTCCGTCGGGACCAATATTGTCACCCCCCTATACCTGTGGGACTAATTTTGAAATTTTCCCAGGATAGATTAGTAATTATACTATCATCCACCACCAACCAACTACACGTGACCAACACCTACTTTTCTCTCTCTCCCCCACTTTTCTCTCTCTCTCTCCCGCACTTTTCTCTCTCTCCCCCCACGTTTCTTTTTTTCTCTCTCTCTACCGACGACATCCATGTCTGCTGATCCTCCCGTACCTGCCACTCCTCCAACGTCCACCGCTGCTCCAACTCCAGAACCAGAGCCGCCGTCCTTACGCCGCCGCTTCAATCTCCATCACAGAGCCGTGCAAGCACTCCGTCTCCACTGTTAACAAATTGCAGATCTGGCCAAGCCTTCCGACGTCGTCACGATTCCACAGGTGCTCCGGCAACGTCTAAAACCAAGGGCACTGCTGGAAGATGTGAGTCCCGATTCCACATGTTCTCCGCCGACGTCTGCCATGTGCCACCTCGCTGCCGGAAGACGTGAGTCCCGATTCGCCGCCGTCCAACTCACCATGTCCGACGTTGTCCTCCGCCTCGAAGTTATTTCACACACCGGCCGCCGTCGAAACCATCTTTCGTACTCTACCTCGCTACATCGGAAATCGACCATCAAGCTCAGCCGCCATTAATGGCAGTTTTACAGCACTGCAGTGGCTCTCTTGTCGNAAGAAAATCATCTAGCACTGCAGTGGCTCTCTTGTCGACAGGATAATTTACGCCGTCAACGACGACGCCGGATGTCGCCGGCCGGAAGAGGGTGTCGCGCAGACATAGAAGAACAGTTTGGGAATTTGGGCATGTTTTTGAAAATTAGATGATCTTCAAGGGCTTGGTTGCAATTTTATGAAATTTGATTATATTTCAATTTGGTTCATGTGCTAAATCTGAAATTTATAGAAATTGTAATAAATACATATTAATAATAAATAAAATGCACAATATATTATGTATATTCAAATTAAATATAACTGCTATTCGAGTGCACAATAGTGTTATACGAAATGCACATTAATGACTGATACGGTGCACAATAATGGACGACACCGATTAAACTAAATTTTCGAATCGAACTTTTACAGGTTGGTTCTATCATCTGTTTTCATTAAAAAAAAATCGGTTATCTCGGTTAAATGTCTTTTTTATTTTTTAAATAATAAAACCAACCAAATTATATAAAAAAATAATACATTTATTTCTTATATATATATATATATTAGAAATTTTCAAACAAAAAATAAAACAAAATATAAAATATGAATATTACAATACTAAATATAAATTATAAATCATTTCGACTTTTTTAGTTTAATTCGGTTAACCCAACGAATAAACCGATTATTTCATTATGATTTTAGCCTGGTCTATACAGATAAAAATGAAATATTTTTAATAATTTGTGTTGGAATAAAATAAGAGAAATATTAAATATAAAAATATAAAAATACTAAATATATCACATTAGTGGCTATCATATTACACAATATTGTCAAACAAGACGCACATTAATGAAAGACATACTGCACAATATTGTCAGATCAAATGCACATGAAAGTATTAAAAAAAAACGACCAACTNACAATTAATTTATTAATTGCATAATCATGTTAATTAAAAATATCCATTATTATTTATTTATAAAATTGTAACGAATTAAAAAAATACACGCACAAGATGATGCACAATAATGTTAGACTAAATGTACATTATTTTAAGTATGAATGCACAACATCATATTCACGATTCCATATATTATGTTTTTCAACCAAATAACAATATAAACTTATTAAAATAAATTATTAAAATACTGAATATAATATTAACCGGAAAAATACACAACATAATTAATATTAGTTTTAATTCACGTTGCACAAAAGCAACAGAGAAATTGCACAATCGTACATGTTAAACAAGCTGCACATTAATGTATATTAGACTGCACACGACTGAGAACGACCGAACTAAAAAATTTTCGATTCGGATTTTTTATATTTCAACTTAATTATCGATTTTTCTATTTTCAAAAATTTAAATATTTCGATTATATGTCGCCATTATTATTTACAACGACGAAAACAACAAAACCAACCGAACGATAAGCATAGCGAAATGTATAATTTAACTAAATTACGATGTAATTATTAATGTGCATTTTAACATACAATAATGTGCATTTTTTGTACTATAATGTGCACTTATGGCACTTTTAATGAATTACAAGACTGCCATACATATTAAAATACAACAAAAATAGGAAATTTAAGATTAAAATATTAAATGATAAAATACTAATCATATTTTAATTAATTATATATTTGACCCTTGAATTCAATTGTAATTTATCTAAGTTTATAAAATTGCTATTGAATCCTTGTATCCTATCAAATTCTCAAAAAACAAACCCAATTCTACAAACACCCAGCCACCTCCTNATCACCACCCACCGCCGACCACGAAAATGCAGCCACCACTGTCATTCGAATTTTTTGTCCAAATCAAGACCAAATTCCAAAAACACCATCCAATCACTCCTTTTTCAGACACAACTCGCCGCCGACAACATCCGACCGTCGGATTCGCAGTCGGGCCGCCCTCAACGCCGCCATCCCCGCCGCAGCGGTGTGGTCCGAGATTAGTAACAAATCACATAACCCTAAATTTAAATTCCCCCAATCACCCAAGTCGGCTCTGAATTTCCTTACCGGTGACATACACTCGTCACTGAACTTCCTCACCGGTCTGGCATCAGCCGCTAGGTCGCCTCTGCTCCGCCTCCTGTGGAAGACGATGCGAGAGCGGCGCCGCCGCATAGGATCTCGATGAGGCGAATGGCTAACGGCGACTGGATCTGAGGATGTCGGCGGGAGGACGCCGGCGAGATTGGTTGCCTAGGCACGACGGAGGAACGGCCGACGTCTCCAGTGTCCCGATCGGCGGCGGATGGCGGATGTACGACTGGAGTCTCTTGCGTCGCAGTTGGCGGCTGGCGGTGGAGTCACGACGGAGGTATGGCGGAGGGTTGTTCTCCTGTGTGTGTGTGTGAGTGTGTGTGTGTGTGTGTATGTCTGTGTGTGTGTGTGTGTTGCTTAGATCTGAAATCGATTGGTATAATGGAGGAGGATGATGAAAGAGAAATCCATATTTAATTTGTGAGTGGGTCCCACATAACCAACTTATCTTTAATTATTGGTAAAATACACATATTTGACCATACTATGATTAAATAATTACCAAATTGCCATTAATGATTGACCAGAATTTGACTTAACACTACAAGAATTCTGAAAAAATATGACAAAAAAAATTGTCATAAAAATGTGAATTTTCCTCACCGAATATTTTTATGACGAATTTTTAGTGTCACAGAGTTTGTCACTGTAGCCGCGTCATATTAGGTCTATATGACAATTTTTTCAATTTGTCATCTGATGTTTGCTATTTGTGATAAAAATTAGTATTGTCATTATACCTTTGTGAGATTCGGTGACAATTGATTTGTCACATTTATCATAAAATGTTTGTCACAAAATTATCTAATTGTCACTAAAAGTTAGCCTTTATATGACGAACATATATGGTGTCGTCATCTGAAAAATCACATATAATGACAAAAAAAAATTATCGTCATCTTTATTAAAATATAATGACAGACAGTTTGTCTCAATTTTCATATAAGACTTGTCATCTATAATATAATTTGTCATAAAAGAGTTGTATTATAGTTACAAAAAATTATTTGTCACCAATGAAATATTTATAATGACGAACGAACATGTCACATAAAAGTACGTTTTAATGATGAAATATTCTTTGTCACCAATAAAAATATTTATAATGACGAACGAACATGTCACATAAAAGTACGTTTTAATGATGAAACATTCCTTGTCACCAGATGAATATATTAAAGGTGATGATATATTTAGTCATAGAAAGTTCGTATTATATGACATGATGTTTATCGTCACCAAATGTGTATAAAAATATGATGATATATTCTATCATGAAAAAGTACAACTATATGACGCAAAAGACAATTGTCACTAAATATGTATGTATAATGACTATAAATTTGTCATAATAAAGAATATCTATGACAAATGTACCGTCACTTGAAAGAACTTTAGTGTGACAAACTATTAGTCATAAATAAGTCATTTTATGCCACAAATCATGAATTTATATTTGACCATACGTTGTGTCACGAAAGATTACTTTTAGTTACCAATTGAAAATTATCACAAAAGTTCATAATAATCTATCTATATATAATAAGAATTACTATTTACCAAAAATAGTAGCAAAAGAATATGTCAAAATTTAATGCAGCCTATAAATAGTAAGTTTTATTATTTTTATTTAAAAATCATATAGCATTAAATGTTACCTTAAATTTTGGGCTTTAGTTCATATCATTATTTAAAAAATAAGACTAAGATTTATTAAGTGCGTATGTTTTTGTTTTTATTTTTTTCTTAGAAACAATGAGCAACATTAAAATCTCGGTCTCTATATTTATAAAATCTCAATTCAAAATAAAACAAAAGTTTTAAAATCTCGGTCTTTATTTTTGTGCCTTTAAAAAATATTCTTTAAATTTCATAATAAATCAATTAATTCTAATTTTTTTAAAATTACTATGTTTATTTTTTACTAATATGCATAAAGTAAAAATAATTAATTCATCTTTAGATATATAATTTATAATCTTAATATACTATCATTTGGTGTAGATATGAATCATAAAATATTTTTATTTCATAAAATCAAATATTTTTACAGAAAATAAGAAAATTTCTTCGGATCAATCGAGTGATTGAATTAGGGTACTGCCCAGGTTGATTGTATTACTTTTAGGTGATATTTAAAATAGTTAAAAAATTTGACACAACGTGGTTGGTCCCAAGTGACTAAGTTATGTATCAGTTCGACCACACCAAATCGATTATTGAACCTAAATATAAATTTTATATTGAAAATATTTTATTACGTGAATGTGATGTAGTCAAACTTCAAATAATCGACTGGTGTTGATGGATTCGAGAGCAAATATTTTAATAAAGCAAACTAGACTGGTTATAAACCAGTGCTTGATCCATCCGATCGGACTGTGTCCAACCCGGTATTCAAAAACAATGAATAAATCATGATTAATGTTATATATATTTAATTTATAATACAATCGTAATATTATTTTTCCGTGCATCGCACGGGCCACGCAATAGTACTATTGCAATTAGCTAGTAAATTAGATATGAAATAACAACATATTTAAAGATAATGAGTATCAATAGAAGGAATGATTTGAAGTATTAATAATTGAAAACAAAAACAATAGTACTTGGAATATTAAGTAAAAAAACACTAAATAAATATATAAGAGATAAATCTGCAAATCCATAGGCTTATTTTCTACTCTCGCTGAATTACACATTGTCGGAAATGTCTTGGTAAATCCACTAGCATCCATTCACCTGTAAATTTAAAATATTTAACTTAGCACATATATTTTCATTTATCAAAGCATATTTTCACAAAATAAAAACTGAACTCCATTGTTTATAATTGAACTTTTACCTCAACTATTTCCTTTGGAAGCCATGAATGCCTTAAGCTTTTCAATATCTGCACCTTGTTGGCCCATTAAGTTCTTCATGTCATTAACTTGTTCCATGAGCTCACTCACTCGTGATTCTGATGCTATTAGCTTTTCTTGGGTTTCCTGAAGCTCTTTTTCCTTTTGAAGGTATTGGTTGGCGGGAGCATAAATGCGTTTATTTAAGTGATTCGTCTGATAACCAAGTCCCTTTAGATAAGTAGATCTTGGACCAAGCACCTCGTGAACTATTTCTTGGTTCGTCTTCTCAGCTCCTTCCGCTGCATATTTTTCTCGCCTCGATACCATCCGCTCTTGATGGATTACAAACATATATCATACCTATCTAAAAAATAACAATACCAATAGCAATATGAAAGTGTGAGTCACCCAATTTTCTTTTGCCTCATCAGTTGACCAACCATGCATGTTTATCAGTGCAATGTGTGAGTTTGTAGAACTCAATTATGTCCCCAGCATCAATTATGTCCCCAGCATCTCCATCAGCATCTCCATTAGCATCTCCATTAGCAACTCTATTAACATCCTCCTGAGCCTAGCAAAGAATAAAAATAAAAATAAAATGTATAGGATATGAACCTTTTTCTAGAAACATAATTGTAAAATATTGTAAAACAGAGTTCGTCCCATAATTGTACAAGATATGAACCTACATATAAAAATAAAATGTACAGGATATGAAAAATAAATGAAAAATAAAATGTACATGATATGTAAATATTGTAAAACATAATTGCATGTTTACAACTTACAATTTCATGTTGAAGGGTAGAAAAAGGAGTTCTGCCAGATATATGCGGGGTCCTTAACATTTGTCGATTCATAGTGTTAGTTGAACTTTGGTGCTGAAAACAAGAAATTGCAACATAAGAAATATTCCCAAAATATATCAATAAGAGTACCAATCTCAAGAGACGTTACCTTGAACTTAGTTGATGCAAAATAATCACAGAGTTCGTCCCAATTTTCTTTACTAGCACAAAATGGTGGCTTATTATTCTTAGCTTCTTCTGGGCTTGCATACTTCTTGTAATGCTTATGTAACCTGTAACGAATTTGTCGAGAGGTAGATTTCAACCTATCAACCAAGCAGTGCCTCACACCCGGTACATCCAAGTTGACATCTATATGAATCTGAACATCACATTTCACAAATTTTTACATATACAAGAAAAAGAAAACATGTCATTTTTATTATTATTTTATAGCTACCTTTATATGATCAATGCCTGGTTCCAACAATTTTTCTTCAGCCATTTCTTCCATTTTCTTGGCACTGGAAGGACATCTCGAGCTACTACACCAATTTGACTTGAGAGCTTTGCAGATTGCTCTTGAATTTTGGGCCACCCTATCAGTGGATCCAATCTATCTTCAATTTCTTTCCAGAGGCATGAAATGCTTTCATAATTCCCTTACCCATTGTTTGACCACATCTTCTCTTAGGGGATGGAAGCTTTGTCTGGTAACAAAGAACATTTTTCATTAATAGAGGACACATATACTAATTCCTTGCAACTATTTCATTCAAAGTTTTTAAGATTCTAACTCATTTATAAATCAAAATACAACTGTGCAACATTGACAGACAAATAACTGGACAAAATGCGACAATCCAAAATAAGTTCATGGTTTTTTTTACTAATATGCCTACACAAATATTTTCGAGAAGGCATGAAATTAAATATATTGTCTGTTCATTAACAGCATGCACAAGCACAACTCCAACATGCATCAGCTACTAGCATGCACAACAAAATAATCCACAAGTCACAGCAGCACAATATGCACAAAAAAAAAAAAAAAAAAAAAAAAAAACAGCCAAAATGCACAACAATAAGAATTAATAAAATTCATGGTTCCAAACATGACGATAGCAATTTGATAGCAATTCATGTTGATATTGTTGAAATCAATATTTGAATCGACGGGAGAGAGTTTTAAGAGGACACCATTTCTTATTTCAGAGAAAATATATGGAGCTTACACTCAGAAAAGGAACAAGACGATGAGATATATCTCACGTCTGTACATGCATCCATGTTCCCAAGCAAAAACGACAACGTTTTGATAAGTAAAATAGAATGAATAAAAAACGGGAAAAAAGGAAACACGCCTTAGTAAGTAAACAGTAACAAAGTCCAACATAACGTAAATAACAGAAACAACAACTATTTACTGTAACCAGCAACTATTCCAATAGTTATCCTAAGCAAAAAATAAAAAACATAATGT